GATGTGTATATTCTTATTCTCCTGTGTGTCATATTATTCTATCATCTGTTCATGGGTCTCAAAAATATGTAAGTTGGTAAAGTTTATTTCATGGAATTAATCAGAGGCATAATGGTCTTATGACGTACCGAGAGATTTTATTAACGTATTTCATATGCATTTCATGCATTTATACATGCACATTGACCCATGACCAGATGGCGTTATATACGCGTATATATATGTATATATATGTATATGGGATATGGGAAAGGTTATGGCGTTATATACGCACCACCACCTGATCAGCTGGTATACGTTGATGATTTTGCCCACAGTGGCCAAGATGATATGATGGGATGCCCTCAGAGGCTTGATGATGTGATGAACACATGTACCTATGCACGACATGACATTCATACGCATATGCATGACATTATATGTTTTGCATAATTTACAGAGCTATCCAGACTTGCAGGTTGAGTCCTTTACCCCATGTTTCTTTCATGCTCTTTACATATTCATTTATATGTCTTACATACTCAGTACATTATTCGTGCTAACGTTCTTTTATTGGGGACGCTGCATTCATGCTTGTAGGTATAGATAATGAGTTTAACGAGCCCTCAGAGTAGATGAGATTGGCATTCAGCGAAGGATTGGTAAGACTCCACCTCATTCGGAGTGCAGCCGAGTGTATGAGTCATCATGTCAAAGTTTTGCTACAGACATATGGGTAGGCCGGTACCCTGTCCCATTTGATGTCAAATAATCGTCGAGGCTTTGTAGACAGAGGTTCATTTTGTGCAATAGGTCAGAGGCCTTGACAGCCCATATGTATTAATGTTTTAAGAAAAATAATTCAGTGATACAGTGTTGCCCACTTATAGTAATACATTATGAGTTGTGGCCATGTGAGCCCATGTGTCACGACCCGAATTTCCCACAATCGAGACCGTGATGGTGCCTAACATTGAACCCGCTAGGCAAGCCAACGTTACTAATTATTTTACAACGGAATAAAATGCGGAAGAACAGAATTTGGCAGTTTAAGTTAAATTCTTTAGCATTTATTGATGTTGTTAAATTAGTTTAGGTTAGATACAAGTGAATTGGAAGTGGAATCAAAAGGGAAAGCGGTAGTTGAGGCTTGAGTTTGGCCGTGGAATTCGAGGTAAGTTTTTGGTCTAACTTTAGCTTGAGGGAATAGGTGTTGTGTCTTATTTGCTATGTGTTAGTGTCGAGTACGACTTGTAGGTGAGGTGACGAGTATCTATACGTTGGTGTCAAGCATGCCTGTGAGTCTTATATTAAGATTGTTGTGATTTTTATTATGTATTGTAATTGTTGAAATTGATGATTAGTGTTGTGGTATAAGGCTTATGATAAATTCTTGGTAGTTGACTATTGTCGAGTATTAGTTCTAGCTGAGGTGTATTTGTGAAGTAATTGTTGAAGCTAGTTTGGTTATAGCTGATTCCCTTGCCGGGATAATATTGTATTTGTTGTTGACTCCCTTGTCGGGACGGCATTATTTCTATATGATGTTCTAATGTGGATTCCCTTGCCGGGATGTTATTATTGTATTTGTTTGGGTGAGGAAGAGTGTAAAGCACGAAGGGTGATGCCGTGCACCTGTTTTTGTGTTATTAATTCCGTTGCTTTAAGTTTGATATTTACTTTGTCGCCTTGCTTTATATCCGTTATAACTTGATACCCCCCCCCCAACATGTTTCCCCTTTTACCCTCTTGTTCTGTTTAATTCTTGTTATTATTGTTTCCGGTATATGATTTAATTGCACAGGTTATTTGGTTGTCGTGTCCTAGCCTTGTCACTACTTCGCTGAGGTTAGGTTCGACACTTACCATTACATGGGGTCGGTTGTACTGATGCTACACTCTGCACTCTTTTGTGCAGATCCCGGTACTGGACCCTACGGACCATAGATTGAGGTTGCTGCCTTCAGTCCAGTGGAGACCCGAGGTAGTCATGCAGGCATCCGCAGGCCTTGGCGTCCCCTTCTATCAGATTTCCATTCTGTTTTTATCTATTTCTGAGATAGACTTGTATTTTTCTTGTTCAGACCACTACCTGTAGTATTCCTAGATAGTCTGTGATATTGTGACACCAGCTCTGGGTGGATTTCTATTTTGGGATTTCGTACTAGTATTACATTAAACTACTAAATTCTGTTCTTCCGCATTTTATTCCGTTGTTTATGTTATGTTATCTTGCAAATTGCTGAAAGATAAAAGTAAAAAGGTAAAATAATCAGTAACGTTGGCTTGCCTAGCGGGTTCAATGTTAGGCGCCATCACGATCCCGACGGTGGAAAATTCGGGTCGTGACAAGTTGGTATCAGAGCTCTAGGTTGCTTAGGTCTCACAATTCACGGACAAGCTTAGTAGAGTCTGAGGGATCGACACGGAGACGTCTGTGTTTATCCCCCAGAGGCTACGGAGTTAGGAACAGTTTCACTTCTATTCATCTCTGTCGTGCGGTTTGAATTCTCAATGCTAATTGAACTTCTACTATGTTCTTTCGCAGATAGCGAGAACCCGTGCTTCATCATCTGCCGATCAGCAGCCCGAGCCCCCACTGACAGCTCCTACGAGGGGCAGAGGACGAGGCCGAGGCCGTGCTAGAGGCCGAGGCAGTGGCAGGGCTTAGCCTAGAGCAGCAGCACCAGCGGCGGAGCCTCAGGTAGAGTTTGAGGAGGAGGCTCCAGCCCAGACTGTTCCAGTAGGGCCAGCTCAGGTCCCAGAGGGGTTCATCGCTACCCCGGTACTCCAGGATGCTCTGGTCCATCTAGTGGGCCTTATGGAGAGTGTCGCCCAGGTAGGCTTACTTCCTGTAGCACCAGCCATCTCTCGAGCTGGGGGAGGAGCACAGACTCTCGCTACTCGCACTTCGGAGCAGATGGCTCCTCAGTTTCAGACTCCAGCAGCTCAGCCAGTTGGGGTAGTTCAGCCGGGTGTTGTAGCTCAGACCGGTGATGGAGCAGCTATGTCTGCTGATGCCTTGTGGAGGTTGGACAGGTTCACCAAGCTGTTCACTACTACTTATGGTGGTACATCTTCAGAGGATCCCCAAGACTATTTGGACAGCTGTCACAAGGTTCTTCGGAACATGGGGATAGTGGAGACCAATAGGGTCGACTTTGCTGCTTTTCGTCTTCCAGGTTCCGCCAAGACTTGGTGGAGAGATTATTGTTTGGCTAGACCAGTTGGGTCACCGGCTTTGACTTGGGACTAGTTCTCTCAGTTATTTCTGGAGAAGTTTCTTCCTATCACTTAGAGGGAGGACTATCGGAGGCAGTTTGAGCGTCTCCGGCAGGGTTCTATGACCGTCACTCAGTATGAGACCAGATTCATTGCCTTGGCCCGTCATGCTCTTATTATACTTCCCACCGAGAGAGAGAGGGTGAGGAGGTTCATTGAGGGACTCGCTCAGCCGATTTGATTGCAGATGGCTAAGGAGACAAGGAGCGAGATTTCTTTTCAGGATGCGGCCAATGTGGCCATGAGAGTTGAGATGGTTCTATTACAGGGGAGTGGTTCCTCATCTGGAGGCAGGGATTCTTTTGGTAGGGTCCATCCTCCCAGGCCGTTTCATTCAGCAATTCAGACTTCTTATGGTGCTCTAGGTGGTCGTGGTTCTCATATGCAGTATTCAGATCATCTACCCTACAGTGCATCACGAGCTCCTATCAGTGTTCGGTGGTGCCTCATCTGGAGGTAGGGATTCTTTTGGTAGGGGCCATCCTCCCAGGCCGTTTCATTCAGCACTTCAGGCTTCTCATGGTGCTCCAGGCGGTCGTGGTTCTCATATGCAGTATTCAGATCAGCTACCCTACAGTGCATCACCAGTTCCTACTATTGCACCTCCGCTCCAGAGTTTTTAGGGTGGTTACTCAGGTTGTCGGGGTCAGTTTCAGGGTCAGCAGTCCCAGCAGCTGAGGGCTTGCTATACTTGTGGCGATACGAGGCATATTGCCAGGTTTTTCCCTCGAGCCTCGAGCAGTTCTCAGCACCAGGGTTCTCATGCTATGGTTCCAGCACCGGGTGTTCCACCGCCCGCTCAGCCAGCTAGAGGTAGGGGTCGAGGTGTTAGAGGTGGAGGTCAGGCAGCTAGAGGTGGAGGTCAGGCCACTAGAGGTGGAGGTCAGCCAGCAGGAGGCCGTCCCGGGGATGTGGTTCAGGGTGGTGGGGCCTAGCCCCGATGCTATGCTTTCCCAGCCAGGCCTAAGGCTGAGGCATTTGATGTCGTTATCACAGGTAATGTTCTGGTTTGTAGTAGAGATGCTTCAGTTCTGTTTGATCCGGGGTCTATATATTCCTATGTGTCTTCTTATTTTGCTTCGCATATAATTGTGCCTCGTGATTCTTTGAGTGCTCCTATATATGTTTCTACACCGGTGGGTGATTCTATTGTGGTAGATCGTGTCTATCGTTCATCTGTAGTTGTTATCGGGGATCTTGAGACGAGTGTAAATCTCCTACTTCTCGATATGGTAGACTTTGATGTCATTTTGGGGATGGATTGGTTGTCTCCTTACCATGCCATATTGGATTGTCACGCCAAGACTGTGACCTTAGCATTGCCAGCGTTGCCTCAATTGGAGTGGAGTGGGACTCCTGGTCATTCTACCAATAGGGTTATCTCATATATAAAGTCTCGGCGTATGGTCGAGAAGGGATGTTTGGCTTATTTGGCATATGTTCGTGATTCGAGTGCTGAGGTTCCTTCTATTGATTCTGTGCCCATTGTTCGTGAGTTTCCAGAGGTATTCCCCTCAGACCTGCCGGGTATGCCACCCAAAAGGGATATTGACTTTTGCATTGATTTGGCTCTGGGCACTCAGCCTATTTCTATTCCTCCATATCGCATGGCCCTGCCAGAGTTGAAAGAGTTGAAGGAGCAGTTACAAGACTTGCTGGATAAGGGCTTTATTAGACCTAGTGTCTCGCCCTGGGGTGCGCCGGTGTTGTTTGTTAAGAAGAAGGATGGATCGATGAGGATGCGTATAGATTACCGGCAGTTGAACAAGGTCACCATCAAGAACAAGTACCCATTGCCGAGGATTGATGATTTGTTTGACCAGTTTCAGGGTGCCAATGTATTCTCGAAGATTGATTTGAGATCGGGCTACCACCAGTTGAGGATTAGGGCATCCGATGTCCCTAAGACAGCTTTCCGCACTCGGTACGGGCATTATGAGTTTTTAGTGATGTCGTTTGGGTTGACAAATGCCCCAGCTATGTTCATGGATTTGATGAACCGAGTGTTCAAGCCATATTTGGATTCCTTCATGATTGTCTTCATTGATGGTATTTTGATCTACTCCCGCAGCCGAGAGGAGCATGAGCAGCATCTTCGAGTTGTTCTTCAGACTCTGAGAGACAGTCAGTTGTATGCCAAGTTTTTGAAGTGCGAGTTTTGGTTGAGTTCAGTTGCATTCTAGGATCACGTTGTATCAGCAGAGGGTATTCAGGTGGATCCGAAGAAGATAGAGGCAGTCAAGGACTGGCCTTCACCCACATCAGCTACAGAGATCCGGAGTTTCTTGGGTTTGGCGAGTTATAACCGCCGGTTCGTGGAGGGGATTTCATCTATAGCAACCACGATGACCAGGTTGACCCAGAAGGGTGCCCAGTTCAGGTGGTCGGACGAGTGTGAGCGAGCTTTCAGAAGCTCAAGATAGCTTTGACTACGGCGCCAGTGTTGGTATTGCCCACAGGTTCAGGGCCACATACAGTGTATTACGATGCATCTCGTATTGGACTTGGTGCAGTGTTGATGCAGAATGGCAAAGTTATGGCATATGCTTCGTGACAGCTGAAGATCCACGAAAAGAATTATCCAGTTCATGATTTGGAGCTAGCAGCCATTATTCACACGCTGAAGATTTGGAGGCATTACTTATATGGCGTGTCATGTGAGGTGTTCACGGATCATAAGAGTTTGCAGTATTTGTTCAAGCAGAAGGAGCTAAATTTGAGGCAGGGGAGGTGGTTGGAGCTTTTGAAAGACTATGATATCACCATCTTGTATCATCCGGGGAAGGCCAATGTGGTGGCCGATGCTTTGAGTAGGAAGTCAGCCAGTATGGGCAGTCTTACGTATATTCCGGTTGGTGACAGACCGCTTGCTTTGGATGTTCAGGATTTAGCCAATCAGTTCGTGAGATTGGATGTTTCTGAGCCCAGCCTTGTGTTAGATTGCATAGTCTCTCGTTCTTCACTATTTGAGCGTATCCGAGATCGGCAATATGATGATCCTCATTTGCTTGTCCTTAGGGACACAGTGCGGCACGGGGGTGCCAAGCAGGTTACAGTTGGAGATGATGGAGTTTTGAGGATGCAGGGTCATATTTGTGTGCCTAATATGGATGGACATCGTGAGTTCATTCTAGAGGAGGCCCATTTTTCCCGGTATTCTATTCATCCGAGCACCGCTAAGATGTATCAGGACTTGCGGCAGTATTACTGGTGGAGGAGGATGAAGAAGGATATTGTTTCGTATGTAGCTCGGTGTTTGAATTGTCAGCAGGTGAAGTATGAGCATCAGAGACCCGGTGGTTTGTTCCAGAAGATTGACATTCCTGAGTGGAAGTGGGAGCGTATCACCATGGACTTCGTTGTTGGACTCCCACGGACTCAGAGGAAGTTTGACGTGATATGGGTTATTGTTGATAGGCTGACAAGTCAGCGCGCTTCATTCTTGTGGCAGTTTCCAATTCTTCTGAGCGATTGGCAGAGATTTATATCCAGGAGATTGCTCGTCTTCGTGGTATGCCCGTGTCCATTATTTCTGACCGAGGTACGCAGTTTACCTCGCATTTCTGGAGGGCAGTTCAGCGTGAGTTGGGTACTCGGGTCGAGTTGAGCATAGTATTTCATCCTCAGACGGACGGACAGTCCGAGCGTGCAATTCAGATTTTGGAAGATATGCTCCGAGCATGTGTTATTGACTTTGGTGGGTCTTGGGATCAGTTCTTGCCATTAGCGGAGTTTGCCTACAACAATAGCTACCAATCAAGCATTCAGATGGCTCCCTATGAGGCTTTATATGGTACGCGGTATCGATCGCCGGTTGCGTGGTTTGAGCCGGAAGAGGATCAGTTGTTGGGTATGGAATTGATACAGGATGCCTTGGACAAGGTTAAGATCATTCAGGATAGGCTTCGTACAGCTCAGTCCAAGCAAAAGAGATATGCCGACCGCAAGGTTCGTGATGTGGCATTCATATTCGGAGAGCGAGTGGTTCTTCGGGTGTCGCCCATGAAGGGCGTGATGAGATTTGGGAAGAAGGGCAAGCTAAGCCCAAGATTCGTCGGTCCTTTCGAGATTCTTGATCGAGTGGGAGAGATGGCTTACAGACTTGCGTTGTCGCCGAGTTTATCAGCTGTGCATCCAGTGTTTCATGTGTCCATGCTTCGGAAGTATCACGGCGATCCATCCCACGTGTTAGATTTCAGCAGTGTCCACTTGGACAAGGACTTGACCTATGAGGAGGAGGCGGTAGCTATTCTAGACCGGCAGGTTCGTCAGTTGAGATCGAAGAGTTATCCTTCAGTTCGTGTTCAGTGGAGAGGTCAGCCTGTCGAGGCAGCTACCTGGGAGTCCGAGTCCGATATGTGGAGCCGATATCCCCATCTTTTCCCCGACTCAGGTACTTTTCCATGTCCGTTCGAGGACGAACGGTTATTTTAGAGGTGGAGAATGTGATGACCCAAAGGTCATCTCTTGTTTTGAAAGTCAAATCTGTGTCTCGAGGTCTTAAAAACCTCCTTTTCTTCCACCTCGGTTTGCATGCGCGGTCTGGGCATATATCCGGAAAGCTCTTATGTGAAATATTTGAGAAAAATGCTATTTTTGCCTTTAAAATTGAATTTAAGTTGACTTTGGTCAACATTTCGGGTAAACAGACCCGGACCCATGATTTGACGGTCCCGGAGGGTCCGTAGAAAAATATAGGACTTGTGCGTGTGCCCGGATTTGAATTCCGAGGTCCCTAGCCCGAGAAATAAATTTTTGAAAGAAATTGTTTAACTGAAAATATAAGAGTTTATGGAAATTTAAAGATGTTTGAATTTGATGGTATCAGGCCCGTATTTTGGTTCCGGATCCCGGTACAGGTTTGTTATGGTATTTAAGTTGTGCCTGTAAAATTTGGTAAGAAACGGAATTCATATGACGTGAATCGGACCCTCGGTTGTTAAATGGAAACTTTAAGAGTTCTTGAAATTTTCATTGATTTTCATGCTAAATTCGTTGTTTAAGATGTTATTTTGGCGATTTGATCACACGAACAAGTCCGTATGATGTTTTTAGAGTTGTGTGCATGTTTGGTTTGGAGCCCCGAGGGCTCGGGTGAGTTTCGGATAGGCTTCGGGGTGTTTTTGACTTAGGAAAATCTGGTATGGTTGCTGCTTCTGGTGTCTGTTCCACCGTGCATTGCGATCGCGTAGTAACTCTCACGATCACGGAAGGGAAACTGGGCTGGGGATGGGTTTGTTCTACGCGAACGCATAGACAGGGTCGCGAACGCAGAGCACTGGGGGGCTGCTCAACGCGAACACGACCTATGTCACGCGAACGCGTATAGTAAAATGGGGGTGGGCTGGGAATCAACCCTTTCTTCTACGCGAACGCGTACAGCGGTCCGCGAACGCGAAGGCCAGGAGGGGCTTACCCTTCGCGAACGCGTGGAGGATCTCGCGATCGTGTAAGTCCTTAGGAGGCTGCTCTTCGCGATCGCGACAGTGTTTACGCGATCGCGATGAACACTGTCGCCCAGCACTTAAAACAGTAGCAGAATCGGGAATTAGCCCACACTTTCATATTTTTGAAAAGTAGAGAGCATTGAGGCAATTTTTAAGAGGCGAATTCTTCCCCAAATTATTGGTATACGATTCTAATCCTTTTTCTTTCAATTTCCCTTTGCATTTCATCAATCTTCATCCAAAAATCTAAGGTTTTTATGGTAGAAATTGGGAATTTGGGTAGAGTTAGGGCCTTTTGAATAATTGGAAGTTAGACCTCGTTTTGGGGTCGGATTTCGAAACTAATTGCATATTCGGGCTCGTGGGTGAATGGGTGATCGGGTTTTGGTCCGAACCTCGAGTTTTGACCAAGCGGCCCAGGGTCGATTTTTGACTTTTGGGGGAAAATGATAGAATACCTATAATTTAGCATTGGAGTTGAATTCTTTAGCATTTATTGATGTTGTTAAATTAACTTGGGTTAGATACAAGTGAATTGGAAGTGGAATCAAAAGGGAAACTGGTATTTGAGGCTTGAGTTTGGCCGTGGAATTCGAGGTAAGTGTTTGGTCTAACCTTAGCTTGAGGGAATAGGTGTTGAGTCTTATTTGCTATGTGTTAGTGTCGAGTACGCCGTATAGGTGAGGTGACGAGTATCTATATGTTGGTGTCAAGCATGCCCGTGAGTCTTATATTAAGATTGTTGTGATTTTTATTATGTATTGTAATTGTTGAAATTGATGATTAGTATTGTGGTATAAGGCTTATGATAAATTCTTGGTAGTTGACTATTGTCGAGTATTGGTTCTAGCTGAGGTGTATTTGTGAAGTAATTGTTGAAGCTAGTTTGGTTATAGTTGATTCCCTTGCCGGGATGATATTGTTTCTGTTGTTGACTCCCTTGCCGGGATGGTATTATTTCTATTTGTTGTTCTAACGTGGATTCCCTTGCCGGGATGTTATTATTGTATTTGTTTGGGTGAGGAAGAGTGTAAAGCACGAAGGGTGATGTTGTGCCATGATTATGAGAGAGTAAATGCACGAAGGGTGATGTCGTGCCGTTTCTGTTGATTTTTACTGTGAGGACGAGAGTAAAAGCATGAAAAGTGATGTCGTGCACCTGTTTTTATGTTATTAATTCCGTTGCATTAAGTTTGATATTTACTTTATCGCCTTGCTTTATATCCGTTATAACTTGATACCCCTCTCAGCATGTTTCCCCTTTTACCCTCTTGTTCTGTTTAATTCTTGTTATTATTGTTTACGGTATATGATTTACTTGCACAAGTTATTTGGTTGTTCGTGTCCTAGCCTCGTCATTACTTCGCCGAAGTTAGGCTCGACACTTACCAGTACATGAGGTCGGTTGTACTGATGCTACACTCTGCACTCTTTTGTGCAGATCCCGGTACTGGACCCTATGGACCATAGATTGAGGTTGCTGCCTTCAGTCCAGTGGAGACCCGAAGTAGTCCTGCAAGCGTCCGCAGGCCTTGGCGTCCCCTTCTATCAGATTTCCATTTTGTTTTTATCTATTTCTGAGACAGACTTCTATTTTTCTTGTTCAGACCACTACTTGTAGTATTCCTAGATAGTCCGTGATATTGTGACACCAATTCTGGGTGGATTTTTATTTTGGGATTCCGTACTAGTATTACATTAAACTGCTAAATTCTGTTCTTCCCCGCATTTTATTCTGTTGTTTATGTTATGTTATCTTGTAAATTGCTGAAAGATAAAAGTAAAAAAGTAAAATAATCAGTAATGTTGGCTTGCCTAGCGGGTTCAATGTTAGGCGCCATCACGGTCCCGACGGTGGGAAATTTGGGTCGTGACACCATGATAGTTACAAAAGGAATGAGTCCAGCTAACTTGACCTTTGTGTGTTCTAGTTTTGGTCGAATGATCATGAATTACAGAGTGGTCCGCTCGGACCAGTACGGCACCGGGTGCCAGCCACGCCTCCCAAGGTTGGGGCGTGACAAAGTGGTATCAGAGCAGGTCGTGTCCTAGGAAGTCTACAAAGCCGAGCCTAGTAGAGTCTCACTTATAAGTGTGTTGCGCGCCACATTTATAATTGAGAGGCTATAGGGCATTTAGGAAATGTCACCCTTCTTTTGTTTCCAAATCGTGCCATAGAGCTGAGTCGTACGAAGTCAGTTGAAGCTTCTGCTAGATTTTGTATGCACTAGAGGTACAGGTATCACGGTAGAGCTTTAAGGCGTAATGTGGAAGGGAGATTATGAAAGAAACAGGAGATACGATGCGAGATTGAAAAGTAAGTAGGGTAAAGGTGAAGAAGAAACGAGATACTCAAGCACAAAAAGTTGTGAATAGTCCAGACTTCAGATAGAGGTTGAGTTAAATTACAGAGGAGACCCTAGTGAAAACTTTTGTAAATCTCTAAGAATTAACATTCGAGGACGAATGTTCTAAAGGGGGAAAGGATGTTACAACTCGTAAATTAAACACGGAGTTGAATTTTGTTATGTGAAGAAATCTTGTAGACATGATTTATTTCCCTTGATCTAGTTTGGCCGCCTTAATTCTTTTCCATCCTTCTCTCTGATTCTATTGATAGCATAGCAGCAACGTTCATTTGAAATTACTTCAACATAATTTAAGTTGGTCTCATATGAAGATGTAAAGGGGAGATGCCGATAATTTCTTGATAAGAAATAGGTATTTGTTGAAGTTCCTTTTAGATAGTATAGTAACTTTATTTGCATTTGCTTTTTCATTTTAAGGGTGCACCCATTTTTGCACTAAGTCCTTTACTTTTAAAAAAAAATGTTTTTGTATGCATGAAGTATTACACCCCGTAAGTTTAACAACCTTAATACTGTTAGATATTATGTTAGTGTGGTATTTTCTTTTAAGTAAAGTATTTTAGTAAAAGCTTTATAAGTATAATTTTGGATAGTTACCATTATTACTATTTTCGGATATGGTAAATTATATTCAAAATATGAGAAATTATGAGATTTTCTTTATGGTAAAGATAGAAATTATTTTCTCACAAGAAAAGAAGGTTATCTTTTTACCATTTTAAGAATTAAGCATACGGAAATTTTTAATCTTTAGGAAAATTAAAAGTTGAAAAAAAATATATGTATTTTTACATGGATATTTTAATGAAACAATAACATATGTATTTATTTTGTATGGTACCACATAACAATGATAGTATGATGTATAAAGTGTATTAAAAATGAGTAAAATTTTAAGTAATTTTGAGACAATTCTTAATTTTGCGGGTAATTGGTTAATTATCGGGTAACGGGACATTACCTAGTTACCTAATAAGTGCGTTTACCTTGAAAATAGTAATTACAATTAAATTTGATTTTGTTGTTCTAAAAATACATGTTTTATTTTTATGCTAGTTGTTAGGCAGTAGATGCTAAGTGTGAAACTAGAGAATAAGGTAAGAGCTTGAAGGCAGTGTGTCGAGCAAACCGAGTGGCAGAGAATCGGGGCCTCGAGCTAGGTTGTACGGGGCCTCAGGGCCGAGCTAAACATTAGGCTACGGACAATCGACGGAGAACTAACGGTTCTAAGAGCTTTGATGAAGGCTCTTTATGATTAATGATGAGTAATAAATGAAGAACAATTAATGAAAACACAATAAATACAAGTAATGTAATAAATGTAAGCAATAGAATCAAAGGAGAATATGTTTATTGTTAGAGAGCAGAGAATGTTCTTGCTCTTGTATTCAATGTTGTATCATCCCCCTTTACAAAATGATAAGGATCCCCTTTATATAGGAGGGGGAATCCCAATATCGTACATATGCATTCATTACAAGGATATGAGGCCGGTACAGCCATTTCTTACAAAGATCAACGGCTGGTACAGCCATTTAATGCCACGGCACGGACTTGTACTATTCTTGTAGACTTGGTCAGCTTTAATCACGTGCTTATTGGCAATTTCCTGCTTGTCCGAGATAGCTGCCTATTTGCACTGCCCCGAGCCCCGAGGTCAAACTTCGAGCTATGCAACGAGGCTTCCAAAAACGGGCTAACGCCATAACGATCATTAAATCGGACTCTCCGATTTTAGCCGTATACAGATAGTCTCCGCGTTTCTTAGAGTGAAATGATAAGAAACGGCCTTGAACTCTTGCTTCTATGATACTCCCATTATGATGTCAGCCCATCAGAGCATTAAATGCCATGACCCAAAGGCTGCGTTGAGGTTGCTGTCAGCACGATTATCAAAAAAGCCCACGAACCGCTATTGGTTCGACCTTTCCGCTCCTCAAGCATCATCCGAACAGCTTCTATAAATACTTCAATTCATTTGCTATTCACGCTTTTTACAATATCTTCAAGTTTTTAGAGCTAAGTTCACAACTTTCTGCATCTATCTTCTTTCTGTGCTCGTTTCTTCACCTTCCTTATTTGAAACCTTTTTCATAGTTATGGCTAGCACCTCTAGAACGGTAGCTCAGAAGGAGGGCGCCGCTTCTTCGTCACGCCCGTCCAAGGGCAAACCAAAAATACCTCCAACTATCGAACAATGTACCCCTTGCAAATTTGATACAGTCTCCGATTTTTCTATCGAAAATCCCCCTTCTACACTGGGCCGATGCGAGCCCGTGTCTCGGTACATCTACGTGGTGACCAACACGGAGAGGGTAAAGAAAGACTTCCTATGGGGGAAGGCAATTCAAGTAGAGATCCCCAATCCCGGGGAAAGCATAGTAGACCACAAAGCTGGCTTTCTCAGCGTATATACATACCCATTCACTCTAGGTCCCATGGATCCTTCTTCCCCGAAGATAGATCCGGTGATTCTTGATTTTTGTCGTGAGTACCGAGTAACGCTCGGTCAAATCTATCCTTCTTTTTGGAGAATCGTTTACATGCTCCAATATTTCTCCAACCAAGTCGAGGGAATGACCTTCACCCTCAATCACCTGGTCAGATTGTACAGCCCTTGTTTCTTCCGAGGTCTGATCAAGCTTCATCCTCGATCCGGGAAGACGTTCTTTTCGAGCATCGATGAGGACAAGGACCGGGGGTGGATGAGCCGGTTTGTCCGAGTAAGGACCTCGGACATCATCTCAGCTGATAGGATGCCATTCCCGGAGGAATGGAACATGAAGCGTAAGTGTCTCTACCTCGAGTACATCTCGTTACCCCTTCTTTCCCTTTTGAAATGACCTTCTTTTGATTATGTAGCCACCGTTTGGTACCCCGGCACGGTTAAGGACCTTCCGGGATGGATCAGACAACTGGACTCTGCTTTTCCTTATGGAAAACATGCTCGGCGCAATTTGGCCAAAATGCGGTGGCAGGCCAAGAACCACGGCATGCTTTTCATCGTTGTCATTATCAAGCTCCTTATGAGTATTTCTTGTGATGGTGAGTAACATATCATGCCTGTGCAAGCCTCGGGGAGGGCGTGTCGATGAGACCGGCTCCTCCCGGTAAAGAAGAAGCCTCAAAACCCGACAAGGGTAAGAAGAGGAAGAAGGAGGCGTCGATTGAGTCTCCTGAATCAAAGAAATCCAAGGTCCACAAACCTAGGACCGATGACACGGTTTTGACTTCAACCACTGCGGCAAGTCTTTGTGAGGATGATGATGACGGCGACTGTCCTTTGGTACAAAGGGCGAGACGAGTGCTGATGCTGGTCGTCGAGTTAGGGATGGCCGACGTGGACCTACCCAGTGCTGAGGAGACCCTCGAAGAGGGTTCAGGCGCAGTCCCCGAGCTTCAAGTCGGACATGGCAAAGTCCGCACCGATGAAACCTCGGCTGGCGACTCCGGAGGGCCTGAACTCGAAGTTTCTCGGGATCGAGATGAGACCTTTACAGAAATTGATGCCCTGGGTGGCTTTAAATTGGGTCCTTCGTTTTCACAGGGGGAAATTAGGGATGCCCAGGACCCGGGTATCGCCTGTGTGGGGGCCTCTCATGGAGAGGAAGATATGCTCAAGGACTACTTCGCCGGAATCGATGTAGAGACAGACCTCGACGCCCCCGTCGCTCTTGAGGAGGCCGAGAAGCTTCAACAGCAGGTAATATTCTCAACATACCATTTGCGTTTTAAGCTTTTCCCTTATCTTTCTAACTCTTCTGCTTTTATTGTAGGTCAAGAAATTGTATGACCATGCCTTTTCTAAGCTCCAAGATGAGCTCTCATGCCGTGAGAAGGAACTTGAGAAGCTCACCTCGGAGTTAAATAAGTCCAAGGCTTCATCTGCCCGAAAGGAAGAGGAGTTTAGGGAGCTTCGGGCAAGCCTGGAGCGGGTGCACCAGGAACGGGCTGGCCTTGCTGAGCAGGTAACACGGCATCCATGAACTCATCTTTTTTATGCTTATAACTCGATGCTCACCATCTTCTTTTGCCTTTTCAGATTGGACAAAAGGATGCCCTGCTGGGGCAACTCCGGGAAAAGGTTGCAGCCAAGGATGCGGAGATCCTCGAGATGAGGAGGTAGAATGAGGCCGCGACCTCGGAGAGAGACCTTTTTCGGGGAGATTTGGTCTCGACCCAGGATCTTCTCCGAAGTGCTCGAGAGGAGGCTACCGCACTGTCTGCGGCCAAGGCAAGAGCTGAAGAAGATGCATCTTCATACAAGAGAGATGCTGCCACTGCAAACGCTCGAGCTAGGGAGATATCTGAAAAGGCCGAGCAGAAGTTGACTCGGGCCGTTGCTTATGCTCGTCTGCAAGCTCGAAGGCAGGCCTTCGAGGAAGCAAGCGCCAAAGATGTCGACCTCACTGTTGAGATTGAGAAAGCCAGAACCTTGGAGGAAAGGTCAGCGCCTTCAACTACTTCAGATGAGGACTCTGGAAGTGATTTAAATGGTAGCGAGGGTGAGGAATAGTCTCACGTCATCCTTTCTGCTCCTTCTTTTCTTCCCTTTGTGTATGGGCTCCTCATGGGAGTTTTGTAAATGAACATTCTGTAAATGAATTTTTTGAGAATGCAAAGAGATCCTTTTGTCCTAAGTCTTCAAATTTATTTTTCAGCACTTACGTAAAGCTAGCCTGTTGAATCTTGATGTAGGCTCTCTTAGAGCCTATACTCGGAGTAACCGAGATCCTCGAGGTAGGGCACCATCTCGAGGCTAGATTGCTAGTTCTTTCGGGGCTCATTTTGTAGTGGCAAATATCCTCGAGATCGGGTAACATCTCGAGGCTAGATCGATACGGGAATCTTGACCCCTAGAACGTTGTATGACGGTGTTATTCGTATGGCACGATTGTGAAGTGACCGGGGTGGTCCCACCGGTACACTTCCCCAGAAGTGATACTGACATGGTCAGAATTAATTGGCCTTCAGAATAGGCGAGTAGTCGCCGCTTGCCCTATATATGTATTTGCTTTCTTATTATCTGAGGATTCCGCTACTTTAGAGTAACTGTCCCTTTTATAGTGCCCTTCTTCCTTCCGCCAGTTCTTTTATCATTTCAACTCAAAGCTTTAGCCCAAGTCTTCATCTTCCTTTTCTATTTTACCATAGCCATGGCTGCTACGTCCAAATCTGTTCACCAAGGAGGAGAGTTCCGCCTCTACCTCGCGTTCGGTCGGTGGTACACCGCCGATGTCCGGTGAGCTAACTTCGAGGTGCATGAGGGACTTTACGTTAGAGAGACCTCCCAATGTTCAGGGCCATTGGGAGCACGCATCGAGGTTCGTCTCATCAATAGGGGAGGAACACCTCGAGGTAATTAGGAAAGACTACGGATTGGGGAGAAAAGGCGGTGTTGCAGGTACCTTCCCCGGAAGAGAGCATCATGGCCTACGTCGAGGGGTTTTTGAATGTATACACGTACCCTTTTACACCGGGCCCTCTCGATAGGGTCGTGCTTGAGTTTTGTAGAAGATATCAGGTCACCCTTGCACAGGTTCACCCGTCGTTTTAGAGGATAGTATTGATGATAAGGTATTTTGCGGATAAAGCCAGACTCGAGTTCACCCTCGGCCATTTTATCAGATTGTATCGACCCTTGCATTATCGAGGCTTGATTACTCTACGTCGTCGATCCACCCAGCCCTTTGTTGCTAGTAATGAAGAAGACGGGGATGGAGGGTGGATGAGTCGATTTGTCCGAGTGCGGACTGTCGATATTATCCCCGCAGAGTTCCTGCCATTTCCTGAGAAATGGAATTTCACACGTAAGTGGTACACTTGTGTTTTTATCATTTTGTCCATGGTGGAGGCAGACTCCGTAAATATGTTTTCCTTCTCTTTTCTTCAGCAATCCCGTGGCTGCCACACGAGGTTCCCCACCTGGCGGATTGGACTCGGAAACTGGCAGCTTGCTCGACTTACGATGAGCGTAAGTGGCGAGATCTGTCCAAGGGTAGATGGGAGGCAAAACATCACGGTACGTGCTGTGTGGTTTTTCTTCTTTGAAAGGTACTTTCTTTTGTGTGTACTAACTCCATCACCGCAAATATTGGAGAATTTTCTGAGATGAGACCGTGCCCCCTCGCAGAGGAGGAAAGATCGCTGGCTTTGGAGCCAAGGAATGATAACAAGCGGAAGGAATCCTCGAAGAACGAGGGTGCTCATAGCGGGGCAAGCCCTGCTCGGAGGCTTAAAGGAGATGTATCGGCTGAGCTCGCAGCACCTGAGGTTTCTAGCCACGGGAGAATGGCTCCTCCTTTGCCGCCCTCTTCTTTTTCCGTCGAAGGTACTTCGAGGGATACAGGTGCGTTTCCGTCGTCTTCATCTCCTATCGAAGGTACTTCGAAGGATATTCAAGGCCAGGGGCCGCCTAAATCAAGCGGGGTCTCGAGCGACCATGTCCCCACCGAGATAGGTTCAACTGGGGCCGGTGAGACCAGGCCAGTAGATGCACGCTCAACCTTTGAGGAGGCTCAGTGGCTTTGTTCTGTGGTTAGATTTGGTTGACTTTGTTGGTTTTTTAGTTTTGCGCTTTCATTTTCTCATTGAGCTTCTTTTTCATAGGCCTTTGACAAACTCAAGTCTAAGCTGCTCCACCGTGAAGCCAGGTTGCGAAAAGCCTTAGACGAGGAGAAATCCCTCAGGCTTCTTTGTGATAAAAGGGCAAAGGAGTTGGTATACCTGCGGTACAAGGCGAGTCGAAGCCAGAACTACGAAAGCTACCTCGAAAGACAGGTAACCTTTGTTTCGAGGAGAAGCATGTTTCCTCTTCTACCCTCGGAGATTAATATTTTGATACTTATGTTGCAGAGAAAAATGGAGGACCTGGAACGCCTTTGGGGTGAAGTTGGTCAGGCCAAGTATGAGTGTAATGAGCTAAAGGATCAGGCAGATGCCCAAGTTGCGGCTAAGAGAAATG